AAAGGCACCTGACCACTGTTAGTACAACCCTTTGGCACTTGCTACAGGTCTTCCCTCTCTCGATAGTGCTTTGTGAAGGTGAGAAACAGTTGGCATGGAAATATTTCAGAAGGCTCATTCCTTCTTCTCCTCAGGACCACACCAACAGCTTGGAACTTCAGGAAAGTCTAGGAATGGTCTGACCACAGCACAATGTGATTCTCCTCTTGGAGCTTCTTTTTCAGGAAATGCAGGGGCATTTGATCCTCCCTAACCTTTGCCCCCGGCTTAGTACAGAGACAGCAACGTCCCTTTCAGTGGGAGTCTCCACTATCATCAGCCAGCTCTTAGCTGGATTTGGACAGAGTAGGAACAGAAATGCTCCTCTCCCGCCCAATCCCATGCATTTCCAAGGCTTGCTTCAGTGAGGTAGGACCACATAACTAGTTCTGGCCAATGGACTATGAACAGCTGTAATGTGTATCATTTCTGAGACAAAACATTTATCCTAATTGCTTATGCAAGATCCTCCAGTACTTGCTTCCATGCTGCAGTGACAGAGAGGACCTCACAGTCTGGATGTTATGGGTACAAACATGCGAAGCTTCGATCAGCCCGAGCCTTGAGTGGAACAGAACCCTGCACCAACAAATAGCATGAAAGAAGAATAAATATTTGATATGTTAAGCCAACACAAAGGATTTGGAAATCATTGGCCAATTCCCTGGACCAAGATGATGCTCAAAGTTTGATGCGGATGGCTCCATAAAATTGTGGTATAATAAGGAGAAATCAATTCCTGCTATTAGCAGCAATGCCAATGAGCATAACAAGAACAACCGATCTTTGTATAATGTTTCAAAATTTTCAAGGCACTTCATGAGCATCATTTACTCTAATGCCTGAAATGACAATAATACTTCAGGTGTCCTTGGACAAATTTTAAGGTGATATGAGAGGTTACATATTTTCCTTCACCAAGCCATTGCAGTGTATATTAGTCCATTTTCTTCACTATGACCAAGTACCCAAGACTGGATAGTTGATAGGAAAAGATATCTATTTTGGTCTTGGTTTTAGAGGCTAGGAAATCCAAGAGCATGAGCAATGTGCCTCATGTTGCTTCAACTCACTGTGGAAAGCAGAACGGCAAGTGAGTATATATGGAGGAGACAAACCATGAAAGATGTCTTTACTTCGTAACCATTTCAGTCCCATAAAAGTGAGTACTCCCATAAGTAAGGCTTTAATCCCTCTTATCGGTCTAACTGTATCTTAAAATCTCTACCTCAATTCTACCTCAATGAGTTCCGGAGGGGACCAACCAAATTCAAGCCATAGCACAATGGCTTCAGTTGTCCTGTGATGCTAGCTTGTGTTGTATGCTTCAATTGGAAATGACCCTCTGAGGCAAAAAGGCATAATTAAAAGTTATAAACTCTGTCCCGAGAGACTAGTTCAGTAAGTTAGCTAAACCATGTAAAATTACAAACACCTTCCTCTCCTTAGCATAGGAATCTTTCAGTGGAGTCTTCTTGCCTGGCAGTAAGATATGATTTTTACACAAAATTTATCCCTCAACCTGTGTAAGTCATAGATATCAGAAATACGCTCCACAGCTATGAAGCTTTCTTGGAACCATGTTACTGCCTTTGAACCACAGCTTTTCACTAAGGTAACATGGTGTATACTCAAAGTAATCTTTTTTTAAGCAAGAATTATGTTTCATTACAAACATGTCATGTTTATACTTACTGTAAAAAAAAGTTAAAACATAGAACAGAAAAAGATAAAAATAGAAATCAGGCATAAACCAAAAATCTGTGAAATCCACTATTATAATGTTAGGTTTGTCATATTTTTTTTAGTCTTCTATGTCAAATTGATGTAACCACTATTTAGTAAACTGATTTTACAACCATTAGTTAATGAGATAAATAGAGTTAATGAGATAAACTAATAACCATGTTATTTATTTGCATAGTATTCTGTCACACTTTATCAATCCCCGGCTACTAAATGTTCATGCTGTCTCTAACTTTTTCTTATACAGATCACGCTGTGATGAATACCTTGGTACATATGTATTTTTTTCTCTTAAAAAATAAAAATGTAAGGCTGAGGAATTTGGATATCTTAAGGATTTTTTTCCACACTGCTATCAAATTTCTCTTTAGAAAGAGTATATCTCCAGCAGTGTAGATCAATGTGCATTTTCAATGGACATTGTATCAGTCAGGGTCCAGCTAGGAAACTAGAAACATACTATGAATTTCAGTAAAGAAAATTTGATATAAGGATTGGTTTAATAGGCACCAAGAACTGAAAATGCAGAAAGGATACTGAGGTAACTCACAGAGAGTAATTTCAGGAAGCCTGTCTCACCCCTAGCTAGAGCTGGCAACAAACAGATGAAATTGTGACTGTTAAAGACTGGAATTTTCAACAGGGACCCCTATGGAGCTGAAGCACAGATCTCTAAGAAGCCAGTGCTTCTTGTTGCTGCTGGTGTCATAGAAGTTCACAGGACACTCCCTGTGGGTCTCCGCTAAGGCTCAGATCTTTGAGAAGGAGATGTTGCCTCATTGTGAAGGGAATAATGAAGCTGACTCCGGCTGTGTGAAAAAACTGGATTGGAACGACTACCACTGCCAGAGTGAAGACCCTGACAGAAGCAGCAAGTAAGCAAAAGAGGACCGAGGTTTCCTATGTTCCTGTCTCGTAGACTCCCTCTATGCTTCCTACTGGCAGATCCTAACACAATGTCAGCTGGCAAATGGAAAATAAGATTTGCGTAGCTGTAACTATAACTTCATGGAACCCATCCGAGAAACATAGATGTGCAGCTGAGACATGGTAGCCTAATAACCAGACAGGAGTCATAACATTTCAAGTTTTTGATGGTAATTTTTTCAATATAAGTGATTCCAAACAAATTAAATATGACATTAGTTCATATGATATTTTGATGACAATAGTTTTATAAAACATATAGGTCTGATCAGATTGAATTGAAATGGCTTTAAAATCAAGACACAAGTTACTACTGAATGATATTTATACAAAGAACTTCCTCTGTGTCAAGCGCTCTTTCCACAGGTTAGATAGACTATCTCAGTCCTCTTACAGATGGAAAAATTTGAGGCTTAAAGAGGTTACACAAACTACTCAAGGTCACAGCTTCAAGGAGTAGTGACGATGGAATTTTTATGGCCAGTTTGACTTAAAACACTGAATAAGGCTGAACTCCTAGATACATGTCTGCCCTACCAGATTGTCCCCTTTACTATTTAGGTGACCTACCTTAACCACTCAATGATTATACTCTGGGTGTGAACACAACAACTCTGCACTCTAGCTAGAAATTTGCCTTCTGGGTGCTGTGTGACCACTTGGTAGTTAAAAAGTTACTCAGTAGCTACTGAAGCTTTCAGCACTTCACCAACCAAACTCCTAACAGTGAGGGCCAAAATGGGTTCTCATCTCCAAAGGTTGACATCTGGCAAACAGTCAGATTTTGGGGATCATAGAACTGCACTAAATTCCATTCCAGATATCTGAATCCCTTCAGTAACATTTTAATAAACAGTTGCCCAGCATCTACTTGGACATTTTCATGATGTGCAATATACCAATATACAAAGCAACTCTCCATACTTTCGACAGCTGTAGTGACTAAAATGTTCTTACCTGCAGAAAGCTGAAATCTATTAATCTATTGCCTCCAATGGAAAATTTCTTATTTTGCTTTCCTGAGCAATAAAACATGCTTTTCAGGTGCTTGAAAGCCCCCTTGGTGTTGTGGTGAGATGCTCATATGCTGTTATGGGCAGCAAAAGTCCCAAATAATATGCCAAAGTGGGTGGGCATAGCTCAGATTTGTTACTGGGGAAGGGATGTATAGAGAAAGACTCCTTAGTGGTCAAGAGCACAGATTTTTAAATTCAGACAAATTTAAATTCAAATCCTGGCTTAATCATATCTCAGTTATGAGCTGAGTTATGGCTGGCTTAATCATAATCTGCATAAGGACTCTGATGGCCCTCATTGGTGCCTGATGGTGCCTTAATCATAATCTTAATCATAATCTCAGTTATGTTCACTCTCAACCTTGATCAAGTTGTTTAAATGAATGAGCATGGTAGTCCCAACCCTACAGTGTATCAGGAGGATTCAATTAGCAAAGGTTTGTAGGGACTCATCTTGGCCACAGAGATGTATAAGAAATGAGATCTAGCTGGATGTTGTGGCTCATCCCTGTAATCCCAACACTAAGGGAGCTGAAGCTTGAAGATCATCATGAGTTCAAAGCCAGCCTGGGCTACATAATGAGTTCAAGAGGAGCCCAAACTGTACAGTGAGACCCTATCAAAAGAAAGAAAGAAAGAGGGGCTGGGGATTTAGCTCAGCGGCACAGTGCCTGCCTGGCAAGTGCAAGGTCATGAGCTCAATTCCCGGTACCAGAAGAAAAACAGAAAAAACAAAACAGAAAGAAAGAAAGAGAAAAAGAAAAAAGAAATGAGATCTATAAAGTGTGTTAATGAATGCCACAAATTTAATTTTGCATAGAAAGTTAAGAAAATATCTCTTTATGGTAGTATGAGATCTTTATTTACCCAGCCCAAAAAGATTTATTTTAGAGTTATATCACATACTACTCTCTGGAAAAAATTAGCTCACTGGAAAAATATATATATATTGCATTTGAAGTCAAAAGAATTGAATTTAAGGTTTTGTTTAGCTCCTTATTCTGTGATCTTAAGTAATGGTCTGAGTCTTGATTTTTTTTTTTTATTCATAAAATGCACCCACAGAAGAATGCATAGTCAATGCCCATCACCAGGGAGCAATTAGAAGCAGCAGGGTAGAACAACAATCTCAAACACATAGTTCAGGGTGAAAAAAAACAGTGACTAGTAGAATGAGAAATGGAGTAATGCCATTTACGTAAAATCAAAGCAACCACAGGCAACATGCCAAATCCATGCAAGTGACAGACAGGATTATCTCTGAGAGGATGAGAATGCAAGTGAGCCAGATGTTCAAAAAGGATCAATAAATAAAGAAGGGCCTCAACAATTTCAGAATTATAAGCAATATGCAAACAATGATGCTTCCCTACCTTCCTCTTAGGGTTATTCTGAGGAGCTGATGAGATTATGCGCACGAAAACAAAAGTTAATTTACTATTTTCATTCAGCTCCCACATTGGATATAGGAACTGAACAGAGACAGTGATTCCTTTAGCAGGAAGCTGTTACTGGGGCAGTTCCCCTGAAGCCGTGCCCTGGCTTCAGAGTCTGCCAGTAAGATGACATCAGAGTCCTTATGCAGGAGGGTGGCAGGCTCCCCCTCACTCCTGGAGACATCACTTGATGGCATAGCCAGAGCCAGAGCAGTCTTTTCCCATGGACCCGCTGCAAGCAGCCCACTCCGGCCCTCGAAAGAAGAGACCCAGACAGACGGGCACCTTGATGGTCTCAAGTCCTCATGATGTCCGATTTGGAGATTTGGTCCTCTTCATTTTGGAGAAGAAAATGGGAACCACTCGCAGAGCGTTCCTCATGGAGCTGGCCCGCAGAAAAGGTTTCAGGGTTGAAAACGAGCTCAGGTAGGATAACACTGCTTCACCCTATAACCTACAGAGGCTTTGTGATCAGCTTCTTTGGCACCCAGGGAACCTGTATGGAAAAGCTGATGCTCCCACTGAGAGAGCAGAGCTCTGAAATCAAAGAGTAAATTTGACTCAATTAGTTCAGGGAAATAAGATGAGTGGACACTGAAAGTATTTACATTAAAACTAGGTGGTAGTAGAAGACAAGGTAAACTATTTTTGCCTTTTAGTATTATGAAATGAGTTATTTAAGAGTGCTAAACAGAAAACTAGTGGGAAAATTTCATGCTGAACCACTCGATTTCATTCTTGACCAAATTGAACAAAATACCACTGAACTCAATCAAAAGATGTCAGCTACTTCAGGCAGAAGGATGGGTTTGCTGCTTGGCTCTTCCCTAAACATCTGGCTGTGCTAAGGTAGCCAGTGTCTGATGGGCTGGGTCGCATGACTAGCTGCCTTACCTCAGGCACCAAGATGTGGCCTTGATTATGCTTTATTGAAGAGCAGTCCAAATGGGGCTCAGTGAGGGGTGCTGACTGAAAGTTCTCCAAGGGTAAGAGACACAGGACTAGTGTGCTGTGATCAGAGCCCAGGTAAGAAGGTACTCAGCTAGTTGAAGCAGTCATGTGGACCATCTAAACTGGTTTACTCACTGATGTGCTCACCTTTTACACCAGTTGTCCTCACGATTTTTCTATCGGTTATATAAGCTCTTCACGGGTCTCAGCTAGATAAAAAAAATTAATCCAGAAACAAGCGGTACAAGAACCTTTACACACATGAAGGTTCCAGATAGAATGGATGGGGCCATGCAATGGGGACACAGTCAGACCCATGCAGTTTCCTGGCTGTAACTGTGCAAAGAATAGATTGACTACAATATTTTTTTCAGGAAAAATTATAAGAATTCTATGTGAAAAGACATTTCTATTATTTTTAAAATCTTTGATATTTAAAACATAAAATTGTCAAGAAGCTCTTGCTGATTAAATGTCAGCTTCAAAATTTTGGAAAGACGTTTCAAAATAATTAGATATGTTAAATCTTGCAGCACTATAACTCATAGGACAATGACTTATTTTTTCTTTTGCTTACTGGTCCATTCAGGAACTCGAATTTCTCATGTTCTCTCTCCATTTTATTTCCCTCTACATGGTCTCCTTTTCCCTTTTCTGTCCCTTTTTCCCCCTTGTTAAGCCCCCACAGTCCCCTTCAAACTCATTCCTAATAGTCTCTCCACAAAATCTTACATTTATCTCATTGTTAATTCTGCCTCATTATACAGATTTACATAGAGTGTTAAGAGTTGGGACAGGTAAAGAGTACCTACGTAAAGAGGCCAAAAGCCAGAAATCTCAAAAAAAAGAAACTTAAAAACAGGAATTAAAAGCCTTAGCATATATTGAACTGTTTTTTATAGTTAAAAACAAAAAAGAAAAGAAAAAAAGAAATTGCCGGGTGTGGTGGTGCATGCCTGTCACTTGGGAGGCTGAGGCAGGAGGATAGTTGCAAATTTGAGACCAGCCTGGGCTGCAAAGTGAGCTCAAGGCCAGCCTGAACTGCATAGAAGACCCTGTCTCAGAAAAAGACAAAGAAAAAAGAAGGAAAGAAAGAAAGAAAGAAAGAAAGAAAGAAAGAAAGAAAGAAAGAAAGAAAGAAAGAAAGAAGGAAAGAAGGAAAGAAAGAAAAGAAAAGAAAAAAGAAAAGAAAAGAAAAGAAAAGAAAAGAAAGAAAGAAAGAAAGAAAGAAAGAAAGAAAGAAAGAAAGGAAGGAAGGAAGAAAGAAAGAAAGAAAGAAAGAAAGAAAGAAAGAAAGAAAGAAAGAAAGAAAGAATGGAAGGAAGGAAGAAAGGAAGAAAGAAAAATCGGCAAGGGTGAAGCAGGAAGGTGAGAGCCAGTCAGGACACCACTTACAGGGAAAGCTTTTTGATGAACGTCCACAACTTCCAGCAATCCCCACTAGCTTAGTCACAGACGCAGCAATGAATCCACACACGGTAGCTAGGCAGGTACTAGGGCAGGTGCTTAGTGAGATTATAACAGGCAAATTTCTTCTGTTCACAGGACAGCCAAAGAGACATCTCCATGCCCCAGAAGCTGCTGCCAGGGACCAAGCCCAGCTGTTCAGGCTACAGAGGAAATGGGCCCTGGGGAGCAAACTGCTGCTATGCCTGTGATAAGGGCCAAGTTCCCAGGCTGGTAGCTCAGAAAACACATTAAACACACATGTGCTCTCTGGAGCAAAACAAAACCACAGGAAGGAGAAGTCTAAGGTCTCAAACAGAATATCCGTACATAAATATACACACTTAAATTGTAAAGGAAAATAAAAATTATTGTAGGAGGAAACCTAGAGAAAGAAACCTAGAAATCAGTATAAAGAAATCTAGAGACTTCAAATCCTGGCTCTAATCATTCCCAGCCATGGGGTTTGGGGCAGTGTCCCCTCTTTTATACCTGTCCTTAGTTTCCTGATAATGGGACTATCAGACATCATGGCCAAGTGAAATGGTAGATGTCAATGCACTTTCATAATTTTAAGCAGTAATACAATTGTAAAGTGTGATTATTTTCTTAATTACCGGAATCCGTTGACACATATAGCAAAACTGTGAAAAAAAGGTTCTTTCTCCACAATATAAACTAGGTCAGAGGTTAGAAGCAAATAGAACAAAGACAGGAAGGAAACCAACCTAGTGTAATGTTGCAAGTAGTTTTTTGGAGTGAGTCCGAAGTAGTGAGGTAAGATTATGACTGTTTCTGTTTTTTGTGTTTTCCAATTTTTATTACAATAAACACATACTTTTAAAATAACAAAGAAACTAGTATTTAAAAGAAAGGACACTTCTCAACAGTGAAGGCTATATAGCTCGGTGTATAAAATTCATATGTCAGCTGTGAAAAAGAAATGGATAGGCTCTAAGACAGGCAGCAGTTTGCATCCTTTTTAGTACACTCATAGGAAGATTTGACAAAAATCTGATTCCTGCTTTACCTAAACCTGAGCACACATGTCAAAAATGGTATACCTCAATTCATTGAATAGACTGGAGCTATTTTATTCCCTCTTCCTTAATAATTATGTTCTATTGCAAAATACATGCTATTTCATGGCCTATAAGAAAACTGTTCTTTTTTTCTTTTCTTTTTTCATTTTTTATTTATAATTAGTATATGTTTGCATTACATAATAATTACATTCCTTGTGTGGAGTCGGCACAAGGACAGAACACGTCTGTTCTTTTCCATTCCTGTTCCCTCCCGTCCCTCCTCCCTCTTTCTATCTTTTGGTCCCTTTCTCATTTGAAAAGATCTATCTCTGTACTTCCTATTATCTATATTTTCTTTTGCTCTTTATTTATACTTTAGGTTTCTCATATAAGAGAAACTGTGTGACATTTAAGATTGTGTGTGTAATTTATTTCACTTATTATGTTCTCAAGGTCCATCCATTTTTCCACAAATGACTCGTCATTTTCTTTATAGCTGCATAGTACTCCACTGTATGCAAATATCACATTTTCTTTGCCCATTCACCTGTTAATGGACATATCGGCTGCTTCCAAGACTTAGCTAATATGAATTATGCTGCAATAAACATGGGTATGTATGCACCACTATAATATGATACATGCATATTTAGTCTTTTGGGTTGATACACAGATGGGGAATAGATGGATCTAATGGAATTTTTAGTTTCAGTTTTTTGATGACTCTCCATACTGATTTCCCTAGAGGTTGTATTAGTTTACATTTCCACTGACAATGTAGAAGGATCCTTTTTCCCACACAGCCTCACCAGTGTTTCTTATTTGAGTTCTTGATGATAGCCATTCTTTCTGAGGGAAGATGGAAGCTTAGTGCTATTTAAATTTGCATTTCTTTAAAGTCCAGTGATGTTAAACATTTTTTCATGTGTTTATTGCCCATTTGTACTTCTTTTGAGAAGTATCTATTTATTTCAGTTGCCTATATTTTGACTGGGTCTTTTATTTTGGGGGGTGGTTGGCTACTTTTCTCATTGCAGAGACACAATACAAAATCCAAAGTTAAAAGAGGGAAGGTTTATTTAGCTCATTTTATAGAGGTCAATAAAAGAGGTCAATAAAAATTTAAAAGTCAATCTTCAGCTGCCTCCAATGCGGGGTGGTATGGCAAAGGAGAATCACAGAGGAGGAAACGGTCCCTGGCAAAGCAAGGCAAGCAGAAGGCAGCAAAGCAGCAAAGCAGCTTCTTTCTATTTATATTCCATCCAGGCTACCCATCTTTTGGGTGATGCCACCCACACAGGATGGAGCACCCTTAATCCCAGCATCGTACACCCTAATCCAGCCACCTTTAGGAGACATCTAAGTACAACCATAAATGGTGGGGATTGGTAAATTTTTTGAGTGTTTATAGATTCTAATTAGTCCTTTGTCTGAGAAATAACTGGCAGAAATTATTTCTCATTCTATAGGTTGGATCTTTTCTCTGTTGGTTGTTTCCTTTGCTATGCAGAAGCTTTTTAATTTGATATGATCCCATTTATTGATGCTCGGTAATATTTCTTGTGCATTGCATTTTCTTCAGGAAGTCCTTGCCTATGCCTATGTCTTCAAGAATTTTACCTACTTTATCTTCCAGCAGATTAAATGGTTCTATTTTAATTTCAAATCTTTGATGCATTTTAATTTTAGTTTAGTACATGGTGAGATATATGGGTCTAGACTCAATCTTCTGCATGTGGATAGCCATTTTGGGAAGCTGGTCCTTAAAACATAAATCAAGAGAGGTGTCAAGACTCTTGAGGAACTTTTGCAACTAATGAAAAAAGATTCTGAATTTTACTTCACAACCAGTATCCTAAATATTAAAGCAATGTCACAATCATTGACTCACTTAGGGAAGGCTAGAGAAGGATCAGAATCTACCACTTGCCACTTTCTTGTTTCATCTTGGGTTCCAACACATTGACTTTTTACCATCATCAGTCCTCTTCTGTGAACACATTA